CACTCATCACCGCCTTCCCTATAACGATCCCTTTCTCTCTCTCTCTCTCTCTCTCTGAGCTTCAGTCTGCCCTTGCCCTCTGCGGTTCCAAGGCAGCGGGCTCGGATGAAGTTCATTATGAGATGCTTCGCCATCTCCCTCCTTGCACGTCTCGGTATTTACCGAGTCTGTATAATCAGGTCTGGGAATCGTCGTCAGTCCCTGAGGACTGGCTCGATGCCGTTGTACTGTCTATTCAGAAACCAGGGTCTCTCGGGACATCCCCTAAGGACTTCCGCCCTATTGCACTCACGAGTTGTGCCTGCAAACTCTTTGAGCGTATGGTAAATGTTCGTCTGATGTGGTTCTTGGAACACCATCACCACCTCTCTCTTTCTCAATTTGGTGTTCGGAAGTGCCGTAGCACAACTGATGTTCTAGTGAACTTGAAGCACTATATTCGTGCTGCTTTTGCTGCAAAGACCTCCGTTGTTGCTCTCCTTTTTGACCTGGAAAAGGCTTATGACACAACCTGGAGATACATATTTCCTCTTCACCACCTTCCTCTTTCTGTCCGTTTGTCTCGCTTACAAGATTCTCTCTCGGTTCGTATTACCAATGTTTCTCCTCGTATTGTTCTGTCCTTGCCCCCGTAGAGGGTCCCCCTTCCCAAATTTTGTACTTCCCTGACCCGCATCATTAAAGCTTTTACCCTTCCTACAGTTCTGAAACGCCTTTTCCTTTAGCACTCTTCTTCACACTCCCACTCCATCTTCCATCTTCACAGATGGGTCTAAGTCTACTGACGGTGTGGGCTACTCTGTTGTTTTTCCTGACCACACTTGTGTGTGTCGCCTTCCTTTGGAGGCTAGCATCTTCACAGCAGAACTTTATGCTATTCTCTATGCTCTTTGTCTCCCGCTCTCTCGTTGTCAGTCCTCCTTTGTGGTGGTAGTTGATAGGTGGTAGGTGCCCTCATGGCTTTGGGGGGTCCTTTAATTCGGTCCACCCAGTGGTCATCGAGATTCAACATTGGCTGTGTCTTATCTCCAGTAAATTTAAGTCGGTAAGAGTTTTGCTGGGTTCCCAGCCATGTTGGTGTCTTAAATAAGCATGCGGATGCTGCTGCTAAGGAAGCTATCCACACTTGTCCCATCTCTCATAAAGGTATTCCTCCATCCTTGCCTGTTGGCAGGGTTGTTGGTCTTTTGTTACTGGTAACAAACTGCATACTCTTAAGTCGTGTGTCCTTCCTCCTACCACTAACCGGCAGTGGGAAATGGCCCTGGCTAGGTTACGTATTGGCCATACACGTTTAACTCACTGTCACTTAATATAGTGCCGCCCTGCTCCTTATTGTCCAAATTGCATTGTTCCCTCTTATGGTCATGCACATTCTCGTTGAATGTCCCGACTTCCAGGATGAGCATGTCTTGCTTTCCAACCATCCCTCACGGTCGACTGTCCTTCAATAGAATTCTTGGTGAATCCGATACTTTTGATATAGTTTGCCTTATGCGTTTGTTCTCGTATCGGCATCTTTGGTGATATTTAGCGCCCTCTGATTACTCCGCACATTTGGTGGTGCTACATAGCCTTCCTGGTTTGGTGCCTTCTTTTGATAATTACTTACTATGCTTATGCATTGCATCGCACTACTTTCCCAACATTCCCTTCCTCAGTTTTTGCAACCGTCCTGACTCACGACACACTCCCAACTCCTCTATCTTCGTTAGCTTCACCCATGTGCCCTATCCCGAGACGGGGGGGGGGGAACAGGTACAGACTGAAATAAACACGCACAGAGATAGAAATACACGCACAAAATACTTTATTAATGAGCGTACAGATGCTGCTGCTAAGATGGTTATCCATACTTTTACTATTTCCTGCAAGGGCTTTCCTTATTCCGACTTCTACCTAGTCAGTCATTCCTCAATCCATGCCCGTTGGTCTTCTATTACTGGTAACAAACTGCATGCTCTTAATTAAGGGTAATCTGTCCCCTTAGCCTTCCTCCTAAAACCGTAACCAGCGGTGGGAAACAGCTCTGGCGAGGTTACGCAATGCCCATACATGTACAACTCACGAACACTAACCCTTTAACTGCGCAACGCGCCTGCAGGCCCAGGCTTCGGGTTAGCAAAGAGCCTCCGGGTGGTTTTATTTTTCACGTCCCATTTAAAACTCCCACGGCTACATGGGGTTCACATCAGCTTCCTCAGGGCTCTTGTAATTAGACGCCATCTTTAAAAAAAATCATGGTCCACATTGCCGGGTGTCATCGCCTCAGTAGTGAGTGAGCCACCAAGGCTGGCGCTCGCAGCATGAGCGCACAGCACTGCTGTTCAGCGTGTGACCACAGCATCGCCTAATATTGTCAATATATATATATAATTGTTTTATTTAGCCATGATAGTATTATAGAAGAGCCCGAGTGTGATAATGACTGGGTACAATGTTCAAATATCAGTGATTCAATGCTGTTCACGATGTTCACAGCGCTAGCCACAGCACCACAGCATTATTTCGTCCATCTAGGAATCTTCAAACTACTTTTTAGGTTCCTTTTCAAAATAAACTTGTGGTCAATTATTCATTTACAGGTATTAGTGACCAGGATTGTGGTTATAATTAGCGTTGTGCGTAGGAAGGAGGAATTTTGGTGAGGAAGGGAGATAATTGAGGTAGCCTCACTGTGTGGCAGTAACTCTTGTTTCGCTCGCCTTCGTGGTTCGCTATGGGGAACACACATGTACATGGGTATATACAGTGTGTGTGAATAGTGTAATAACAGTACCAGGAGTATGTTGTGAGGAGCTATTTTGGTGAGGGAGGTGACGTCGTAATCGTGGCGTCGTCTGCTGTCTGATTTGTCATGCAAATGGTATGGTGGCCACTGTACTGTTTGGACACAATACTGGCTTACTTGCATAGTTCTGGTAAATAAAACCTGTAGATAGGTATATATAACATGTGTAATTAGTGTATAAGAACAATAACAAAGGTGAGACGAGCAATGTTGGCGAGTAAGATGTTGGAGGGAGGGCTGGCTGGGTGTGGCTGCTCACACTCGCGGTGTTCTGAGTGTTGATGGTGAATGTATACAGTGTGTGACAGTGTATACATATGTTGTAAATATACATAAAAGAACATTTTCATGTGACATTTTTCATTTTCATTGGGTGTGAATAACTATGATTTGGAGGAGTAATGTTGGTGAATACAATGTTGGAGGAGTGAGGGAAGGCTGGCTGGGTTTGACAGCTCACACTCGCGGTGTTCTGAATGTGTTGATGGTGAATGTATATAGTGTGTGACAGTGTTTATTCTGTAAATAGATTGTATATATACATAAATTAGCATGATACATGGTAAATATGTGCAACATATGTGTACACAAGTGTCATGCACGTAACACAGTGTCTTCGGACAGTACGGATGTTTTACTGCCATAATATAGTGTACGTGTTCATTATACATAGGATTAGCATGTAAAAACAAATAAAATGTATTTGGAACTGTGCGCAAAAAATGAACAAAAATATATTCGCGGCAACTCGCGTGCCCCACCCCAGGAGCATACTGCTCTGGCGCATGGGGAATGATGACGTCACGCCCCACCTTTCGGACCCCATAGCAGCCAAAGTAAGTACAATTTCGAACTTCCGTTGCTATACCCATATACAGGGAGGGGTTTTTGACACTTTCAGAAGAAAATAGAATTTTTTCCAGAGGTTTCATTTCTTGCAAACTGGGGGGGGGGGGAGTCATATTTATAGGCTGCGCAGTTAAAGGGTCAAGGAGCAGGGCAACGCTCCATTTATTTGGAACTACATTGTCCATCCTACAATCGTGCATATCCTTGTTAGATGCCCAGATTTTCAGGATGTGCACGTCTTGGTTTCCAACTGTACCTAGATAGAATCCTTGGCGAATCGAATACCTTTGATATCACACCTTGTGCATCTTGCTTTCGTATTGGCATACTTAGTGCAAAAGTGGTCACTCCCTCCAATACTCAAACGCCATATTGAATATCCTGCACTTTTGGTGTTACACAGTCTCCCAGGTTTGGCACCTTTTGATAATTACTTGCACACAAAACAAGAAATTTAGTTATACTGTACTATGGCACAATACTAGATTATACACAATTAAAAAATTTATGTTTAAAACATACTAGTTCTTTCCTGCAACTTGTAAAAAAAATTAAGTACATTATAATCAATACTAGTCATCTACAGCAATTATCTAATAAAATTAGTAAGCTAAATTTACCAAAATAAATGACTACAGTAATCTCAAAGTTGGATTAGCTATTAATAAAATGAGTATTCAATTAAAATTTATTTTTATGTAATGTTTGGTAAAAATTACAATTATAGACCAGCTAAATTACTAAAATAAAGGTCTGGCCTTGCAATAATAAAAATATCTCCACATTACACTGGGTTGTAATGAGTTTTTCAAACTGCAGAAATCAGTTTTATTCAATATTTCCATAGCAAAAAAAATGCCCTCTTCATATTGCATTAATTGTTACACTTGTTATAACATTCAAATAATTTGATATTTTCCAGTTAATAAATATAATTGCAAAATTTCCTAAGTTAATACAACTCATAATACATGGATTACAAGTAAACATTACTCGTAATACATGATTACAGCCACTCTGAAATTAAAATTTATGAACACTGCCAACACACCTTAAATGCAACATACATTCAAAACTTTAAAATTTTTATTACACAATATACAATAAGAAAACCAATGTGTGTTGACAAGCTGTTTAACATTTCTCTGATGTATAATTTATATATTTCTTTATAATCTGTTCAAAGATCCTTCAGTGCCAAGAAACCATTTAAAGACAATGCACATTTGCTAGTTTTCTTACACCTCATTTTTTTAATCTAAATATTCAGGGAATAACATGACACGAGGCAGCCATCATGGCTAAATGTAGTTCCATACCCTTGGGGCAACATTATGTTTCAAGGTGAACAAAACACAAGTACTTACAACATTTTAATAACCATAAGAAATAGGGATTTCCTTGAGAGCACTTACATTGAACATAGTTCAATCACTCACAAAGTGTGTTCACCAGAATTTGGCTTGAAATGACTGATAACTAATCTTTAATATTTTTTTAAATAACTGTTACTCCACAAACTGCAACAAAAATTTTGTAACATCCTTAAGTTAGTCCAAATGAAAGATGAGTTATTTACAAGCATGATAATCCTTATATGATATACCATCTTCCAGTGCATGGAATACTTCTATAATAACTGCACCGATACAGAAATATTTTCTGCCCATTTTGGTTGCATCAGTCCACTTAAGTCATCCTCAAGACCAGTCTTAGTGGTAGCTGCAGATATATGCTAGTTATTTTTTATAAAAAATATATTAATAAAATGGTCCATGATCAATATTAACATCCAGGAAAGTTCACTGCCAAAAATCAAATACTGTAAAAGCAACTAATTGAGCTTTATTAAAAAAAAAATTAAATTAAACCATACTACTGAGGACAGCCAATGATCAAGTGATTCACTTTAAGCATGAATCACATTTTCAAAACAAATCTTCGGATCAATGACTTGATTTGCATATCTTTCATATTCAACAATCTAGTTTAATAAGCAAGTTCTACTGAACAAAAAACAGTCATCTGATTTCCTGAAGTATCATTCAGCACTGTTTCAAGCCTTTGTGATTTTCAAAGTCATAAGGATGTTTAAGCGAGTCATCCCTTGTGTACCATTTTACACACCCACACACACATCATATACTGCTTACACTTGATCATATATATAATATAAATATATAATATATACAATCAGTGGTGGCTCTGTGTTCCAAATCTTAACAAGTTGAGGCTGGGTCAAGTGGCACAAGACCCTTGGTGATCAGTGCAGCACTCACAAAGCACAAGCTGCAAGGCCCAGACTCCAGGGCAGTTCCACATAAGGCTGGTTAACTTATGTTCCACTTAATGGTGGATGCATCAGTACCTGCCAGTACAAAACTAGTTAGAAAGGAAAGTATTTTACTGATATCTAACTAAATGTGTTTGCATTACCAAATAATATTTGATAAAGTTAGAACTTTAGCAAACAATAGTGGATTATATTCTGTACCCACACATTTATGTAGATTTACACATTATCTGAATAGAATTTGATCAAAGCATGTTTCTCTTGTATCCAGTCTGAATCAGGATACAAAAAAGTACTGTATTCTATAATTTAGAAGAAAAAGTAATTAATATACCGATAAAACACAGTTCAGTGGTACCTTCATTTACAAATTTAATCTGTTCCCAGACAGCTTATAACCTGAAAATTTGTAACCAGAAACAAATCTTCCCGTAAGAAATGTAAATTTAAAATCTGTTCCACACCCAAAAATATTAACTTTCAAAATACATTTCATACATAATAAACACAAATATTTTGTACTATAATATGTTCAAGTTATAGCTTACCTATATTGATGACTTGTTAGCTTATGGAAGATGGTTAGGAGGAGGAAAGTGGGGGAGGAGTCCCCCTTTCCATTATAACATCAGGCAGTGATGACTTCTCTGGGGTTCGTTCGTTCTCTCTCTCCCCCTCCCTCCCCCCACATCCCCTCCTCTCTCTCCCCCCCCCTCTCTCTCTCCCCCTTCTCTCTCTCCCTGTTTATCTCCCCCCCCCTCTCTCTTGTCCTCCCCCCTCTCTCTCTCTCCCCCCCTCTCTCTCTCTCCCCCCCTCTCTCTCTCTCTCTCTCTCTCTCTCTCTCTCTCTCTCTCTCTCTCTCTCTCTCTCTCTCTCTCTCTCTCCTCCCCCCCCCCCCCCCCCCGCTCTCACTCTCTCTCTCCCCCCCCCGCTCTCTCTCTCTCTCTCTCTCGTCCCCTCTCTTTCTCTTTTCTCTCTCACTCACTCACATTTTGCCTGCATACCACTAGGACCTGGTTGTGGCTCGCTACTTGCTCATCTCATTAAGGATGAGCAAGAGCATTCCATAGAGACTTTCCTCTATGGTGATTTTCAAAGGTTGAACCGTACCACTGACTTTCTTGGGACCCATGACATGGTATAAAATAATTACTTTTATACTTAGAAACCAAAAAAAAGCTGAAAAACAATTATATTCTTTACAAAAAATTCAAGCACGATCGTCACTACGTGGGAAGCACCATTAAACCGAGGCGCAGTTGCCCGTTCCACCAGGAACCACGAGCTCAGTCGACCCATACCTGTATCAACAAACTCGCAACTTGAGGCAAAGCTCGTCAACCAAATAGAATTTTTTTTTAAGGAATTGAGCTTATAGCCCGAAAAATTCGTAAATAGGAGCATTCGTAAGCCGAGGTTCCACTACTATTTAAATTTTGGAATGAATCCAGAACCAAATCAATCAGGATTTTCATGATTGTGAGTAACTATTTTTAGGGTCTGCAGAGTTAGTGGTAAGGGAAGAATACAAATGAGGTGGTAAGTACTGGGAGTATGGATAGAGCAATAAAATTGGTTATTATTCTGATATAAAAAATGGCAAATGCAATAGTTGAGGAATTCACAATACAGATAAACAAAATAGAGAATAGCCTCTATAATCTGGCCTAACCAATACCTAATATCTTCCTTGGAGACTTCAACCTGCCCAGTCTGAGATGGAGAATAGCAAACAATATTATACAGGGGAAATTTATCTGAAAATAACCAAAAGGTTTAGAACTAGATTGTGACAAATTTTCACTTAACCAGCAGATAATGGAGCCAACTAGGAACAAAAATAATCTACATTTGATCTTCACAAACAATGATGACAATCAGGGACATTACAATCACATACCACATACTCAAATCACAAGCTCATTGAAGTGCAAACTAACATCAATACAGTTCTCTAAACACACTGCCCGCAGTGCACCACAAGGTAAGACGCACGTTGCCCGTGAGTGGACAATCACACTCCAATGTTTATAATCTTTACAGTTTCTTCACCTCAATTTTTGTGCTATGTCATTCATTTACATATCAAATTGTTCGCAATAGAGTTTAGATAATATATGGATACTAGATAATATATCTAGTAATATATCTTACTATTTAGATAATATATCTATTATAAATATATCTATATCTAGTTTGGATAATATAATATATAATATAATGACCTTAAATATGCAAGATTGCCAATAACATAAAATACTGTACATCGTCATGTGAAAAACAATCCGGATTTTTGTCATTGTTTACAGTAGTTATTCATTCCCTACATTGTGTTTGTTACACTATATCATTCGCTTATGTGTTGTTTCATATTTATAAATGCAGTAACAAAATATACATGCAGTAAAACAACCAGAACAGGCACTTATTTCAACTCAAGGGTAGGGAAGGTGGGTGGGTGGCCACCCACGCAACAGTGTAGTGATGGCACGTGGGGTATAGAGAATGGGAAGACGTTGGCACGCATTTTAAAACAAGTCCCATAATAATTGGGCAATAAATGGAATTGACAAATATTTTAATTTTGGACGGTATTGTCATCATCCTGCAAAATACTTGTTTTGATTTTAGGACAACAATAACGTTTTCCAGCAGGGAAAGGGTTAACACTTTGCCTCCACCACCAGCGCGCATGCCCCAGCCTACCTCAAGTGTGGCCGGGCATTCCATGTCAGCGCGTGGCTAGACTAAAATGTGTATACTCTCTTCAGTTTTCTCGCTTCAATTTTCATGTTTCGTCATTCAGTTTCATATCAATATGCTCGCAATAGAATTCCTTACAGGAGTATATGCATACAAGGTCCAAAAGCCTGGTGTGCCATTCGCACCAAACCCAAAAATCGGCCAAGCATTACCCGTGAGCGCTCAAGAGAAGTAAAATATGTACAGTATACTCTTCAATTTTCTCACCTCAATTTGTGTTACGTCGTTCATTTTTGGAATCAATGTGTTTGCAATAGAATTCCCTACATGGGCATTCGCATGCAAGGTCCAAATGTCCGGCGCACCCGACCCGCAGCAAAGCTGAAAGACGGCCAAGTGTTACCCGTGAGCAAGCAGCCATTGGCACACCCGCAACACCTGTACACAAATGTGTATGCTCTCTTCAGTTTTCTCACCTCAATTTTCGTTGTACGTCTTTCATTTTGGCATCAAATTGTTCACAATAGAATTCCCTACAGGATTATATGCACGTAAAGTCAAAACAGTTGGCATGCCACCTGCAGCAAACTCGAAAATCGGCCAAGCATTTCCTGTGAGCGAGCACCCATCCGCACATCTATGACCTCATGTTCTTAAAGTGCCAGATTTCCCCGAGACCTGGAATTTTAAGAACAAGAGGTCATAGATTTGAATTAGCTAAACACATATGCCGAAGAAATAAAAGAAAATTCACTTTCGCAAACAGTGGTAGACGGTTGGAACAAGTTAGGTGAGAAGGTGGTGGAGGCCAAGACCGTTAATAGTTTCAAAGCGTTATATGACAGAGTGCTGGGAAGATGGGACACCATGAGCGTAGCTCTCATCCTGTAACTACACTTGGGTAATTACACTTTGGTAATTACACCCACAACACCCGCACTAAAATGTGTTTTCTCGCATCAATTTTCGTGTTACATTGTTCATTTTGGTATCAATTTGTTCGCAACAGATTTTTCTAAAGGAATATATGTATATAAGATAAAAATAAACATGTGCGCTACCCACAGCAAACTAGAAAGTCTGCTGAGCATTACCCATGAGCAAGCACTCATCTGCACACCAATGGTAAAATGATTGGGGGGGGGGATATTTGGACTGTATATGAATATAACCCTGTAGGGAATTCTATTGTGAACAAATTGATACCACTTTGCATGATGTATAACGAGAATTTAGGTGAGAAACCCAGAACACACACACATTTTGGTGGTGTTGCCCGCTCACGGGTAACCCTCAGCCGATTTGGGAGTTTGGTGCGGGTGGCACACCAGGCTTTTAGACTTCATATGTATATTTCCATGTAGGGAATTTTATTGCGAACAAAAAGATGCCAAAATTAACGGCTTTAGACAAAAATTGAGGTGAGAAAACTTAAGAGTATAAATATTTGAGTCTGGCCGAGCTCTCATGGCCAATACTCGGCGCACCTCGAGGTAGTCTAGTGAGCAAACGGTGGGGACGGGAAAGTGTTAAGCAACGTTCTCCACCTCAGGAGTCCTGGCCTATCACAGACAAACTCTGGAACACGAGAAGATATCCGTCAGTGCAAGGGCAATACTGGCGGGCACCCCTGTGAAGAAACCCAGAGCACATGCAGCCCAAAGCACAACAAAGCCAGATAAACATGCACATGTAGCAAAAACTGAAAAACATAACACAGATCAATTTTCCCCACATAAATAAGTCTAAGGACAGCACATACTTAGCTTGAAGCAGAGCGTGCCACATCTGAAAGTCAGAGATAGGACTACAAAGACATCACCAAAAGAACTGGCAAGAAGGTTGGCTACATGCAGAAGTGCAGAAGTCAGGCTGCCTAGTCATGGTATTCGGTACTCCGAGTTTAGCGCTAATTTTGAATGTTTTCTTTTGTGTGAATTGCTTGCAAAGCTGTTTGGCACTTGAGGCTTTGGGCTTTGTTAACTCTTCAGTTGTCTGTAAAGCTTTGCCAACTATATGGATGTTTTCCTGATGGTGGGGGTGTTTTGCCACTTGCTCTCTCTGCCTCTGAGGGGAGGGGGCCAAGTTATAGCTCTAGGCCTTGTGAGCCAAACAGAACTCTTGCATCTGATGACTCATTTGCATAGAGCAATCTCAGCGAAATAGCTTCAGGAAAATACTAAAGGATCCCCCAGATATGGGTACTAAACATGCATCCACCTGTACTAATGACTTGTAAAAAGCATAAAACCAGGAAATGACAAACTTAAATGTGGCCTTAATTTTTAAACCTATATAAAAGTGGATCATGTTAAATCTCACCATCTAGATCCAGTTTACTGTATTTGGAGAAAGACTAGTGACGAAATAATACTCACCATTTCTACTCTGCCACCCCAGTCAGAGCAGGAGGAGCAGGTGTTGGTGAGCTCATGTGGCGACCTTGTTCCTTTACAATAGGGTAGAAATATGGATGTTCCATAGCTTCATGAGCCGTGAGGCGCTCTTGGTGGTCATATCGTAGTAATTTGTCCAAAAAGTCAAGAGCTTCTGGTGATACTAAGTGTTGATTTTCACTATGGACAAACCTTTCCCATCGCTTCCGTGAATGCCTGAAAAATAATTATTTTTAACACACAAAAAGCCTTCCCAAACCAGTTCTTAAGAATTTTCATATGAATTTCTTATGTTCATGATAACACACATTTACACTTCACTGTCACAATCAATCATTAGCACCCCCCCACTTTTCCACATTCATAAAGCACAAAGCTCAGAGGAATGGTGAAAAAGTTATAGCTATTAAAAAAATTTCACTGGTCCATTTATTATATAATTCACACTATGTGGTAGCATCACATAAACAAGCAACATACAACAGTTATTTAATGCAGCTCCCCCAATGCTTCACGAGACCAGGACACAATACTCTGAATTAATATATACAGTACAGCAACAATACATTCACTTTTTCCCTCTCAACTGCTTCACCACAGTCTTGTCCCTTAAATTATCACATACGTTCTTCACACTGTCCACCCTTTCTCACATGCTCACATATCCACTTTTCTTTCTGCCTTCTTTCACTTCCAACTTTCTAATTTATTTAACACACAATCAGTTTGCCATCATCTCTTCTAGTAATCTGTTTAACTCCAAATACTTGCTTGGCATTATTTACAAATAATAATGATTTAATATCAAGTGCAATTGGACCATGCAAAAAATACAATATTTGTTTTATTATCTGGAATAAAAGGTTCCAGATAGTTTTGCAGTCAGAGGGTTAAAAAAAATAAAAAAAAAGATTCAGAAAAAAAATAAAAACAATTGAATGTAATGAAACTCCATTTTCTGGGCGAGACACTGAGGCTCCCCAGAACTACACTGGGCTGATGTGAGAATATTAGACGGTGGCACCCATCAATCAATGGAGTTCTAGCCTACCGGGGACCACGAGCCAGAACCTGGCCCCCCTCAGAGGCATGAAAAGCAATGGTTTATAGACAATTCCCCCCCCCCCATGTTGTTGGAAGCAGCCTTTGTCTGCCATCTACCAGGTCAGGCACCCAGAAAGGTAGGAATCCCAAAACAAATTACATCTGGTTAAAAATTGCAAACTAAAAGCCGAACGAGCAAGCTCCCCAATCAGAAAACAAGCAATTAAAACAAGCACAAGCGCTTCGCTGTCTGCGCAGTTCCTCCCTCCCCTCCAGCTCCCCCCAACCCCTGTTCAGAGGCTAAATATAAAAAATGCAAAAAAAAACTGCTGGCCTGAGGGAAGAATGCCGGGGAGCCTCCAGGTCTCACTCTGAAAATGACGTTTCATTATATGGCATCTGGGGCATCTGGTTGGCATCTGGGTCCAAAAATGCAAAAATGAAAACTCGTTTGATTTCAGTCAAACTTTTTTGACAAGTTCTATACGAAAAGTGTTTCATCTGGTCCAAGTTTCGGCATCGTAGCATAAATAGGAAGGGAGAAAAAAAATATTGAAGTAGTTGTGAAAATTATGCCAAAATGGTCAAAATCGATTATCAATCAAAAGTGTCAACTGAAATCATAGCTATGACTCTTTGCTATCACAATAGCATATATTAAACAAATATTATAATTAGTTTAATTGGAAAAAAATTAAGAATTTTTTATTTTTGGGGGAACTTTGAATATTTGTATTAGGAAAACTAAAGATGTTTTGGAAATTCTAAACCTTTATTATATGCTAATGTGTCAGAAAAGTGTCACAATAATTATATCTGAAACGTGTGTTCTGAAGTGTAGACTTGAAAATGTGTAAAAAACGTTGAAAAAAAAAAATCTCCCTTTCTATTTACGCTGCAGTACTAAAACTTGGGACAATTTCAGCACTTTCCATATACAACTAGTCAAATAATATTGGTTGACATTGAACAACTTTTCCAACACCAACCAGATGGCTCCTGGTTTTCTGTGGAGAGCCCCTTCGGTTCCCCCGAGCTACCTAACCAAAGATAAAGTAAAAGAGGGACTTACCCGGGAGGCATCCGCCACTCGCTCCTCAACTCAAAGTCGAGACAACTGGCTGCAACCCAAGGCTACACGCGCTCGAGAAGGGCCAGGAAGATTAACGAGGTATCGTGCAGCCAGGATCCTGTTCGACCTGCAAAAGCCCTGTGCCTGAATGTCACCCCAGGACATATTTCCAAAAACACCAACCAAAGCTGCGAATTTACGAACGTCGTGGGCATGGAGATAGACCGCAGGCTGGCTGGACCGAATAATCCTGCGGACAACCTGGGAGACCAGCGCCCTGGACAGGGAAGAAGGGAAGGCGAGAAGGAAAGAACAGACATCGCTTCCTTCAGAATTGGAGCAAACAACTTCATCAAGGCAGCTGATGCCTGAGCCACAGACAGGTGCACCGGACTCTGGCCAAGAACCCAGCTCCTCTGCATTCTCCTCCAGCCAATCCGAAAACAGCTCCAGCAGGAAAAAGAAGTGCAAGACCGAAGCTAAATGCCCAAGGGCGCACAAATCCTCAGCTACCAAGATGCCAAAAGGGAGGGAACAAGCACGTGAAGCTGCACCTGGCCGACATCACGAGGAAGTACAGGGGCGAGCAAGCATGCATTGAGGTATTCCAACTCATCGGAGGTATGTTCAACAGAACACATGCCATGCCCCATCGAAAAGAAAGGGCAGTCTGCCACACATGAAGACTCCAGCACCTCGTAACGCACCCAGTAAAAAAGAAAAAAAGAAAAAAAGAGGAGCCAAACTCAAAAGAAGAAGGATCCATTATCGAGGCATAATCCAGGTCTTGCAGGAGGTAAGCCACAATGGTCTCCCGAACCTCCCTAGGCGGGATGCGAGAAGCTGAAAATATTCGGAAAGTGGGACCCGAAGCAGTGTGTGTTCAGGTGGGACCCAAACACAAAAACCTGGAACCAAACCCCAAGAGGAGCCAAACTCAAACTTGTATAGGGAGGGAGGATAGGAAAACTCCTTCCCCTGTAACAAGCCCCGTGCCGAAGGTACCTACACCCAAACTGAGTCAAATGGGGACCAAGCCCGCCCCCCCCCTCCCAAAGTCATCTCCTTTCCAGCTCCAGAATCTTCTACATCAGGACGTAGAGGATGGCTTTGGAGGAGGGCAGAGCTGTCCACCAAACCCTCTGCCCTGGATGCCGCCTGCTCCTGAATATCAGTATCAGAGGACTGGGTGAACTGGAGTACAGGCAAGGAACACCACTTGCAGGACTCTGGGGTCAAAGGTGTCATTGACTTAACAGGCAGCATGGCGGAGGCAAAGATGGTGTCACCCTGAGACAATGAGACAGTGCAACTTTCAAACTCGCACAAAGTGAGATGGGACTGAGGAAGCATCCATTGGACCAATGAGCCTAAATGGAATTTCCCAAGGCCCTTAGGCTGACTGCTAGGAGAATCCCAGGCAAGGTACTGTTAACCGGTTATCCCAGAACTACCAAGACAAACAAAAAACTGAACCCCTGTGACGTGTGCAATCACAGGGACCTAGCAGAGGGCCACCAAAATAATACAAATGGTCCCTACAGCCACACCAGGCAGACCCCCTACCAGGCAAAACAAAAGAAAAGAAACGCCTCACAAAAGCACAATGACTCCAGGAGGAAGAAAACCAACCGCTATGCGTATTATAAGACGGCTGCACAGTACCTTGTGCCCCAGGCAATGACGATACTACCTCCTACCCAAGGCCAAACAGTGTTAGGGAAAACCCCCAGCTGACCCCCCAAGGGCAGGCAATCACCGAGCAGCAAAAGAATCCTGCGGAGGTAGTCCCTGAACAGTTTGTGGAAGGTAACCCGAAACTGCAAGGGAAGTACATACAGGGCACAAGGGGAAGGTGACCCTAGGCACATGCAGCCACAGTACTTCTTGAATTACACCTAGCTCGCACACCACTGCACAGCTGACCACCACCATAAGGCTCAGCACTGGTCAAAGGATGGAACCAGAGTCGATTGATTACAATTTACCACAACAGCCTCAGAACTTGGATTGGAAGGGGAAGGGGGGGCAGGTCTGGGGGGCCCCCTTTCCCCTCCCAAGGAGCAGGGAGCTGCAGACAGCGGCACGGTGGCTGTAGTGACGTCATGCTTAGTCGCACGTTTTCTGATTGGGGTGTTCTGCTTGCTCGTTCGACTTTCGGTTTGCAATTTTTAACCAGCTGTGGTTTGTTTTGGGATTTCTACCTTTCTGGGTGCCTGACCTGGTAGATGGCAGACAGACTGCTTCCAACTACATGGGTGTGTCTATAGGCCATTACTCCTCGTGCCTCTGAGGGGGCCAGGTTCTGACTTGTTCCCGGTAGGCTAGAACTCCATTGATTGCCTGTTGCCAAAGTCTAATATACACACATCAGCCCGGTATGGCTCTGGTGAGCCGAAGGGGCTCTTCACAGAAAGTAGTATGAACTAACTGCATTACTCAAATATACAATAGTTAGCTTACCTTCCAAGTATATCATTGAACCTAGGATCTAGCTCAATTTGATATTTCTCAACATATTCGTACAACTCTTCAGTTCCCAAGACCTTTGCAATGCGTACCAATTGATCATAATTATCATGACCATGGAAGAAGGGTTCTTTGCGGAATATCATACTCGCCAACATACAACCCAATGACCACATATCAAGAGAGTAATCATACATCTGAAACAAAGTGAAAATGATGTTAAGTAAATCCTATTAAATTGTAAGCGTATTGTGAAATGGTCATACACAGTGCACATGCCTTCAAGCTTGGTACAACACCCGTTCACCAGGTATCTTTCACCTCACACTCCTACCTTATAAACTGACTTTTTCCACCACACTTTTTTGTTACACAACTTGATAATGGTCCAGAATGGCCTGAATCATCATCACTTCCTTTATTTTCAAATTTCTGGATTGGTGTCCAAGTGCATAATTCTTATTTTGTACAATTGATAATGGAAATAACTAAAAAAGTTACAAAATTGTGATGGGATTTTTGTGATACATGGGAAATTGTGATACACCAAGTTTCTGACTGAGCCCCAGACAATTCCTGAAGCTATCATCACTGATTAAATGCCTTATTACCTAGTGTCACCATTTGCCAAGTTTTTTTGCCTACCGGGGACCACAAGCCAGAACCTGGACCCATCACAGAGGCAAAGGGAGCGATGCCCTAAGATCACTTTACATATAAAGGTTATCATCTTTGCCATCACCAAGGAAGCACCCAGAAAGATAGGCGAATCAAAAACCACTGCTTGGTATAAAAAAAAATAGACTAAAGCCTCCAAAACGTCAAAAGAATTCTCCCAACAAGAAAAGAAACAACCAAAACAGTGAAACTAGTACCCCCACTAGCTACCTCCACCACCCATATTATTGATGGGAAGGGGAGCCAGCCCAAGAAGGCTGGGCTGACTGACTTCAGTTCTTTAATGACTGCACTGCACAGAGTGCCTTAAGGTGCTCGATTAGAGGTGAGCAGAGCGCCATAAGGCACTTTTAGGTGTAGGTAATGATTCAAAACTCCCACAGGTACACAGGGTAAACCTGTGCCTCAGGGCTTCAGTAAACAGACATCTGAAAAAAAAACTAGTTGGCATCCATACTGGCTGTGAGTGACTCAGTACCGAGAGACCAACCAAGGCTGGTGCATGCAGAAGCTCATAGCACTACTGTGCAGTTAGGGTATCATAGTGCCAGAGATGGCTCTGGCACAGCCAGAGGTTCATTATAGAAGCAGAAGCAGAATGTTTAAACCATATTGCCTCCAGCTGCTTCGTGTACAGGTTGTAGTGTTTGTGTGTAAATACTTAGTGTCACCCATATTTTTTGTGTTAACCTAAGTTTGTACATGTATTTGTTATTATTTCTTGTGTGTGTTAGGCAAGTGTGTCAAGTAAGGGGGTTCCTGTCACGGTCGCCAAAAATAACACAGTGTACAGTTACAAACCCATTAAGATTTCAACTTAGATTCAACAGAGCAGAAGTAGTTGTTAAAACTCATATGGCAAAATCTTACTGAAGCGACCGTACGAGTCAAATACTCATACTCCACCCAAGTAAAACAGAAACAAGCAACACTTTGTGGGCCAGCTAGAGGCTTAGGGCCCGCACATGAGTATACCTGAAAAAAAAAATCAGGGGTTTTCTGTGTTTTTCATGTTATTTGTTTATTTTGATATTAAGAGTAAATTGTCACAATTTTTCAATTAGTATTCCTTCACTCCTGTGCAATTTTCACACTGGAAAGGCCAATGCGGTATTTTTATTTATTTAATGAGAAGTGCTTGCCACATTCCATCTGCCTGGTATAGCCGCAGTACTGAGTCACAACATACATACTACACAAGGGGATTGGCTAATGACCTCGTGGAATAGGATGTACTTGATTGCTGCAAACCCTTTCTACAGTGTAATAGGTCTGCTCCCTGGAAAGCACAGAAAATAGAAGTAGAAACTGTACCCCTCAAGGTGAAAAAGACTGCATGTTCCAGGACAATTATGATGTTTAATGGAAGCATGAAATACTTACCAAGAGGCAATAGTTTACATGTATATCGTGACAGGTCAGTGGCGGAAGATGGCTGGGCAGGGTGTGGTGTCCTAATAAGGGAATACACCGAGTTTGGAACTGTGGACGGGAAAACTGAACTTTGGCTTAGCAATTATATATCGTCTACACAAGCAAAACTGCAGGCTAGTTCTGACTAGTTTGGAGGAAGTACATCAAGACGAAAAAGATGTTTTCATATTTGTCGATAGCAGAGCAGCACTATTCCTTAAACGAAATCCAATCTTCATGTCCTGAGTTGAGGATTGTAAGAAAAGGATAAATGAGAATACACCTGAGAGGACACAATGGAGTGACTCTGCACACATGTAGCTCAGACTTGGGTACAAATATTACTGGGAATATGGAAAAGGTGTTAACGGTAATGAAACAATGTGTAAACTATGTGGTATGTTAAGGTCTCTCACCATCACCCATTATGTTCTTGATTGCCTGTTGATTACTGTACAGAATATAGAAATCCTGAGTAAGGACCGTTCCTAAACAAATATCCTGGACATGACGTGTCCGAGAGACATAACGTGTCCCTCGAAGATGGGGAGCGGCGCGTCACCGGGGTAACTAAAAAGACACGACTCATAACGTGTGCCCCGAAAAAAGCAAAACGGACACGTTATGAGTAATATCCATACCAAAAATCCGCAAAGATTGATAATATTCTGACGAGAAGAATTTTGCACCAATATTGTAACTTCCTTAAATTGTGTGAATGTTTATTGCAAACTGTGTGTACCTAGTCATAAAATTGTGTGTGTGTATGTTTAGCACTCAATGTTCTGTAATATGTTGGTTGATTGTGATGCTATCACCACTAATATATTGATTGATAGTGAAGTTATCAAACACTGATTCATATAAGAATATAACATACACCTACACATCCAAACCGAGGCTTTCGCTAAATCTCCGGTTAATATGCACAATTTTCAGGCTCGATTTGACGAACTCCTGTTCGCTGAAGTGGGTAATGTGCAGATTTGCTTACATATTGGAAAAGTTCAGACTGGTGGAAAACTTTCCCATTATATCACAGGTTACAATTAATAATTCCTTCAAATGCCAAGTTGGGCTACACACGTGGAAAAGTGGACCACGCAAGTGGAAAAGTGGACCACAGAAGTGAACGACGGAGTTTCAATGATTCTCGTTCACTGATTTATGACACCATTATATTTGAAAATAAATTTCAAGGATGAAGAGTGAAAAGTCTACATATTGTCAAATCTCCTTATAGATATTTTCTCTCGACGAAACAACGTGTGAGGGTGGACAGATATAGGGAATACTCTAAGCCTTGTGTGAATTTCTTTCAGATGTGTCGCCAAACTTTAGAGACCTACTTAAATTTACCATGGCATTAGATGCCATGGAAGATTAAAAAAACACTGATGTAATTTACATTGATTTTGAAAAAGACTGAGAAATGTGACAATTATAATGGTGTTATTACACACAAAATATGTTCAAAAGGAAATACCAGAAAAAAAGGCAAATGGATCTACAATTTCCTAACAGAACCTGATGTGAAATAGTCAACAAAATTAAATCCAGTCTATCAACCATGAAGAGATCAGTCACTCAGGGTACTGTGCTTGCTCCAGTACATATTATAATCCTCATATCAGACATAGACAAGGACACAATCCATAGTACTGTATCATCCTTTGCAGATGACACAATGATTTTATATGATTAGAAAACATAGAAGACAAACAGCAAACCTCCAGTCAGATGTAAATCAGTTCTTATGAGCTACAGAAAATAATATGGTATTTAATGAAGGCAAGTTCCAGCTCCTGCGCTACAGAAAAAATGAAAATATAAAAATGAAAACCACGCACAAAATGAAGTCAAATCACAACAGAATACATTGCCTTTAAAAGGCAATGTTAGGGATTTGGGTGTACTCATGGCGGAAGACCTAAACTTTAAAGAACACAATAAAGTAGCCGTCACATCTGCAAGAAAAATGACAGGTTGGATAACAAGAACCTTTCACACTAGAGATGCTATACCGATGATGATACTTTTCAAGACGCTAGTGCTCTCTAGAATGAAATACTGTTGCATAATGACAGCCCCTTTCAAAGCTGGAGAAATTGCTGACCTGGAGAGCATGTAGAGATCCTTTACTGCTAGAATCCATTCGGTAAATTATTATGTATCTCTCCCGCCTCTTGAGCAAAGGCGGGAGAGATACATAATAATTTACACACGGAAAACAGTACAGACCTGCTCACAGAAATACCACCACATGAGACTAAAAGGCATGGCAGGCTGTGCAGAATACCCCCGTTGAAAAGCAGATGTGCAATAGGTACTCAGAGAGAACGCCATCAACTTCAGAGGCCCGAGACTGTTCAACACACTTCCACTACACATAAGGGCATAACTGGCTGACCCCCCACAGTGTTTGTGAGAGAATTTGACAAGCACCTTCAAAGGGAACCTTATCAACCAGCCTGTAACTCATACGTCAGGGTGCAAGCAGCTGCATTCAGCAACCAGGTTGACTAATCCAGCGACGAGGAGGCCTGGTCGACGACTGGACTGCAGGGACACTAAGCCTCGAAATCCTTTCAAGGAAAGATAACCAAGTTAAGGTAACCTATGACTGAAAACTTCAGATTAATAAATGAGGATGATCATGATAGCAGGTTACAATCTGCAATGTGCTGATGCATTGTTCCATGTTGATAAAACACCTTGACCTTGGTTCACAAACACAATCCAGAGCTACCAGGCTTCAATCAACACTTAAGGCTGATGAAAGGTATTAGTCTCAAGATGACAGTAGGAAAGAAACAACCCAAAATGAGCCAATATTTTGCAAGAACTAGTAGCAGAAAATCAACGAGCACAACTGTACCCAGAACAAGCACAGCAGTAGCTAGCACCAGTACAACAGCAGTGAGCACCACTTCAGAAGCAGCTGAAGCCAACACAGCAGCAGCGAGCACCAGCAAAGCCGATGCAAACATCAAAGAGCAGTGTGTGGAGTGTACAATTAGAACAAGTGTTAAATTTAAGTATATAGTGTTAAAACATTAAAATTAAAGTTGCAGTAATTTTAGTGTACAACCTGGTCCTACCCCTCTGGGAAGACCAACGAGACTAGCTCCCCTCCCAGATAAGTCGGAAACTGCCTTGTATCTGCATCCATTTCTGATGCATTCAATTTGTTAACTACTCTAGACACTAAAGAAGTTCTTTCTATTATGCCTGGCTCATTTGGATACTCAAGTTCCACCTTTGTCCCCCAGTGTAATGCTGCATGTGTTAAATAAATTGTCTGTCTCTCCTAACTCTCCTGTCTTCCAGCAATGTGAGGCCGAGATTTTTACCTCCCCCTCCCCCGAACAAGGGGGATAAGGTGGAGCTAACTAGTTGAGTCCTAGTTTTACCAAGCTTTGGTCATATCTTTTTTCTTCGGGAGTTCTATTGACATTTTGGGGGCCTTGGCCTAATTTTTTAAACCAGGCAGTGGTTTGTTTTGATTCGCCTATCTGGGTGCTTCCCTGGTGATGGGAAAGATGATAACCTTTAAATCTACAGTGATCACAGGCCATTGCTCCCCTCGCTTCTGTGAGGGGTTCAGGTTCTGGCTCGTGTTAGACAAAAATAGACAAAATGAACTCGGCAACTGATGACACAAGGTAATATGGCACTTAGTTATGATAGCTTCAGTGGATCCAACGGGGCTCCCCACAGAAAAAATGTGTATGATCATGACACACGTTTAAAAAATCTAATTCACCTAAAGCATTATAAATACCAGGAAAACCCTGAAAACCAGGGTTTCCTAACCCCGTTTTAGAAAAAATAAAAAAAGAAATTATATAAGCACCTATAATATTTACTGGTACAGTAAATATACTGTACCAGTAAATATTAATAAGTAATTACAAGTTATGCCTTCTTTAAACTACTTTACTTAAATGCTAACCTGATAATCTACAAGTAATTCTGGACCCTTGAAGTATCTTGATGCCACACGAACGTTGTACTCTTGACCAGGGTGATAGAATTCCGCCAATCCCCAATCTATGAGTCGCAATTTCCGATGCTCATGATCAATCATGACATTGTGAGGTTTGACATCTCGATGCATTATTCCCATACTGTGACAATAGTCTAGTGCCTGCAAATAAGGACAAATACTGTATATACTATTGGCAAAATAAATCATACTGTGCATGATATAAAATAAATAGTTAAACTTTTGTCCAAGCTGCCTGAATAGATATAAACACTAATATGAATACCACAGTCCACCAAACAAGAAATGATAGTTATTAACACTTTCGCGCTCCGTGGAAACTCGCGGTTGACAGGGGGATCGTGGCCCCTCCGTGCGGGTAAGCGCGCGGTGACACTCAAATGTGTATACTCGTTCCAGTTTTCTCACCTTAATTCTCGCGCTACGTCGCTCATTCTGGTATCATTGTGTTCGCAATTAAATTCTCTACAGGTGTGTATAAATATAATGTCCAAAAGCCTAGCGTGACTCCCAACAGCAAAGCGTAAAGTCGGCAAAAACGCACAAAATCAGTAACATGTGCATTCTCGTTCCATTTTTTTACCTTAATTCTCGTGCTACGTCGCTCATTTTGGTATCATTGTGTTCGCAATTAAATTCCCTACAGATGTGTATGAATAAAATGTACAAAAGGCTGGAGTGCCTCCCCGCAGAAAAGCCTAAAGTTACCCATGAACGAGCACCATTTTGTACATTGCAACCTAATGTTCAACTCGTTCAATTTGATAACATCAAATTTCGTGCTACGTCGCTCGTTTTGGTATCAAATTGTTCGCAATAAAAAGGCGATTATTTTAAAACTAGTCCCAGAATAATAGAGCAATAACTGGATTTTTAACAAATATTTTAATTCTGGACGCTAATCATCACAAATTTATTTATATCTTTCCAGTGTTCTGACATAAATATTTGTGTTACATCTTTCATTTTGGTATCAAATTGTTCGCAATAAAAAGGCGCACATTTTAAAACAAGTCCCAAGATAATAGGACAATAAATAGAATTTTAACAAATATTTTAATATTCAGACCATAGACCTATTTATAATATTTCAAGTGTTTGGACATCAAGTTTCATGTTATATCTTTGATTTTGGTATCAAATTGTGTGCAATCTAAAGGCGCTTATTTTAAAACCACTACCAGATTGATCTGATAAAATTTAAATTTTTAAAAAATATTGTAATGAGTGACGCAGTATTGCGTCGTTGGAACACATTCAGTAGAAAAATAAATGACGAATTATTCAGTCTGTGGAACGCGAAAGTGTTAAAGCCTCCAATGTCATTCTACATCACTACACAAATACTGTATTTAAAAAATTTTACTTTTCCCTGTTTGCAAACACATTTCAACACTTATGCATTGCAGTATTACCTTTAGGAAGGAAGTGAAGGAAGGAAGTGATTAGAAAGTTATGTGGTGGAGGCTGACTCCATACACAGTTTCAAGTGTAGATATGATAGAGCCCAATAGGCTCAGGAACTTGTACACCTGTTGATTGATGGTCGAGAGGCGGGACCAAAGAGCCAGAGCTCAACCCCACAAGCACAATTAGGCGAGTACCTGCTTGATGGGGTTCTGGGAGTAGTTCTACTTCCCAAGCCCGGTCCGAGGCCAGACTTGACTTATGAGAATTTGGCCCACTAGGCTGTTGCTTGCAGCGGCCCACAGGCCCACATACCCTCCACAGCCCAGTTGGTCCGGCACTCCTTGGAGGAACCTATCTAGTTTTCCCTGGAAGATGTCCACTGTTGTACTGGCAATATTTCTTATGCTCACTGGGAGATGTTGAACTATGGATCTCTAATGTTTATTTGGTTTTATTCTGCATTTTCTTCCATAGTGTTCACTCCAGTATGTTATTTTACTGTGCAAATTTGGGATATGGCCCTCTAGTATTTTCCACGTGTATATTATTTGATATCCCGTCACCTTTCTAGCAAGTACATTTGGAGAGCTTTGAGACGATCCCAATAATTTAGATGATACAATGATGCATTGATGTGTTACCATCTTTTATTCAAGCTTCCTATTCATCAAATCATTTTGCTAACCATTATTTGTCATGATAATGATTCAAATACTGTACCACACCTCACCTGTTAATTAACGTCCCCCTTTCCCTTTATTATACAATGAAGATATCACCCATACTAAAAATATTTATACTGTCAATGTTTTCTCAGTTTTACGTTATAAATTAAACCATCAAATGTTTACGAATGAATAAATAAATGAAAAGATGCAAACTAGCTAAAGCATAGATACAAATTAAATTGGCTTTCATAATAGAATCTGCATGACTGCTGAATGTGAATTTTTATAAACATGCTAACATTCCTCATTTCTTAAAAATAAAATGGAGGAAAATGTGTACACTATCAATTTATGATACTCTAAAAATAAAACAAATACTTTTATTAAATACCTAAAAAAATATTTATTTTATATACAGAACTGTATTATATTATATATTATACGGAATTCGAACATTCGAAAAACGCCCTTATACAACCAAAATCGTGACCGGATAAATTTCTCAATATCCAGCCAAAACAGCCATAGGAGCCGGATAAAAGCTGGTTTAGCCAGATAAAAAATGGGAGCCGGTTAACTTTTTGCCGATGTTACACTATCCAGACAGTCAGCCGGATAATCATTGAATTGTCCAGAAAGCCATGGGGCAGGCCGTACCATATTAATCCCGTCTGGCTGTGGCTGGCTGGCTGGCTCGAGGCGCATGGTGGAGGAGGGGGGTGGGGTGGAGGAGGGGGGGGGGGGGGGTGGGTGGGTGGTGTCGGGAGGGTGAGAGGGACCACCTGGGTACAGGAATTACCATTAATATTAGAACAATTCATCATAGCCAAAAAACAAAAGAAATACCAGTAATTATGTAGTAACAAATATATAAGTTTCCTAGAAACAATGTGCACAGACTGAAGTTTCCTTAAAAAATAGTTATTTTTCCTCCTGGCGGCCTACGTAATGCACAATAGCTGCCCCAAGTGGACCCGTCCAACACTGGTCAACCCATGTGCTCCCGTTCCTCGTGTTATACCAGAGTGCCGCGCCATTAGTGAAATATTTTTTTAAACAAGTTTTTCTTATTTTCATAGTAACTTTGAACATTTTTGGCCAAGACTATGTCTGGTAGCAGCATCAATCATTCTGGAGGTGTTAAGAGGAAGAAGGTTGTCCTAACAATTAAAAGACAAGTTACGTGTTATACACATCAACAAGTGAGGCAAGCCAAGTGCCTTCAACAAGCGAGGTGCAAGCAAGCGCCTTCAACAAGTGAGGCCTCACAGGCAACAAATGCCTTAAACCAGTGAGGCTTCAGCAGCTGGCAGTCAAAACTAACATTGCTTAATGAACTGTACAGTAATTTTAAGTGTTAATTTTAACGTTGTGTTAGTATAGGTTACATAAATTGTTAAGAATTCTTAACTAAGATGTGTGGCACCAATCAAGATGACTAACACCAACAAGGTAAGTTGAGGTTTCTAGTTAAATATTTAATAATTATATGTGGCAAGGCAATTCAAATTATGTTAGTAGTATAAAAATAGTTGGAAATGGTCACTTTTGGACTCTGGTGAAAAAGTACCATTATCCGGAACATGGGAATATCCGACTAGGGGTCCTTCCCATATAGTCCAGATAATTGAGTGGAGACAGTATATGGATGTGCGTGCGTGTGTGTGTGTGTGTGTGTGTGTAATTACCCAAGTGTAGTTACAGGATGAGAGCCGTTCGTGGTGTCTGACATACTACTGGCGGTCTTGGCCTCCACCACCTTCTCACCTAACTTATTCCAACCGTCTACCACTGTTTGCGAAAGTGAATTTTCTTATATTTCTTTGGCATCTGTGTTTAGCTAGTTTAAATCTATGACCTCTTGTTCTTAAAGTTCCAGGTCTCGGGAAATCTTCCCTATCGATTTTATCAATTCCTGTTACTATTTTGTATGTAGTGATCATATTACCTCTTTCTTCTGTCTTCTAGTTTTGGCATATTTAATGCCTCTAACCTCTCCTCGTAGCTCTTGCCCTACAGTTCTGGGAGCCACTTAGTAGCATGTCTTTGCACCTTTTCCAGTTTGTTGATGTGCTTCTTAAGATATGGGCACCTTTCTCCCACCTATGGGAGAAAGGGCAACCAAGGCTGCAAGAAACTACCTGAAAAGCCTATGAATCGTGGGACTAGGCATGGGCAAAAAGAGGCAGCTTCATCAATGGAACGAGCTGCAAAACCCGAACCCCGAGATGCCGACCTCTGAACAGAGCGAACACCGCACTAACCAGATGAAGGCAGCCTCGGGAAACCCACCGACTCAAACTGGCATTAAAAGGCCCCAACCAAACGAGGCCCAAGCTTTAGCACGACCTTTCCAGAGGGTCGGAAGCGACCCCTGCAACAAATCCGAAATAAGTAGGCAACTAGCAGAAGCAGCCAACAGAAGCCGAGCAACACCGTCCTCCGGGAACCAGAGGGCAAAACGGCGAAGAGAACTGAATTTGGACCTGGTTTTTACATTCTTATGTTTAGAAGATGATGAGGGTTGAAGGAGTCAAGCTGGCATATTCAAGGTACACAAATGAGTTGTTAATGTTTGGATGTGCTTTGGCTGTTTTAATCGAGAGCTCTTATGTTATTCACTGATGTGTGTGTTCCTTAGGAACGGGCACATAAGGCTGTCACAGGACACAAAACGGATGAGAATCAGGAACTCTGTTGTTGCTATCCAGGTTGTCAAAGGAATTAAAAAAAAAAATAGAAAAGGCCCAACCCGAATCCAAATATAGAGCAAGGACAGCATGCTGACACACGAGATAAGAGGTGAAAAACATAGAAATCACCTCCAAGAGGACCAGCACAATCAGCTTCAGCAAGGCAGATGACAAGCAGCTGAGACCAAGACCCCAGCTGATGGCTCCTCACCCTGCACCCCCATATCTTCTGAAAGCCAATTCGAAAACAGCTCCAGAAGACTAAAACGCAAGACCAGGGCCAAATGACCACGAGTCCGAAAGTTTTCTGCCACTAAAATAGCTGAAAGAATGGGGACCCGAGGATGTAGCTGTACTACACCAACATTATGAGAAAGTGCAGGGGCGAAGAGGCACTCATTTAGAAACGCAAGCAGTTCCCCCCCCCCCCAAACACCTGCATCACCGTGATAACTTCCCGCCACTCAAGAGTGCAGGTATGACAAAGGCCACACCAAGCCCCAAGAGAGAAGAAGGGGCTATCTGCCCGCCAGGAAGAGAATGGAACCTTGCAACACCCAATAAGGGATAGAGAAGCCGAACTCAAGGCTGGATCCATCTCAGACGTAAACCAGGTTCCGCAGGAGGTAAGTACTCAAGAGCCTCCCGAACCTCCGCTGGGGAAATCCAAGAGGAAGAAAACCTCTGGAAAGACAAATCCAAGGAACCCAAAGGCACCCGGGAAGGGGGAGGGGAAGGATAACTCCGGAGGGTATGGAAATCCCCTCCTCTGCAGAAGGCCCTGTGCAGAGGGCTCAAGGGGCAAAAGCAGAGCCAAACGAATCCCAAAAGCTCCATGCGAACTTTAACCGAGCCCTGGGATTCTCTGACAAAGGGCCCGGGGCAGAGCCCCTCATACATGCCCACTATTCCTGAAGAGGCTCAACCACCTCTGCACCTGCATCGAAAGGGGCAACCCCCAAAGCCACCCAAGCTAAACCCTGCCCCGACTCTGAAACCTTCAGATGTTTGAAAGCTGGAAGCATGAGTAGAGGAGCAGGGCGAATCACACCCACCTGGGAAGGAAAGGGAGGGGGGTGAACGGACTGAACCAAGGCCGAAGTGACCGATGCCCCCAAATCAGTCCCTAAAACCCAAGCGGGGCAACTCAGGGGCCTCCAACCAGGCCCATTGCAATAAACAACTCAGCCACTGCCATTTTCACAGAGATCATCAGATACGGTACAAGTAAACTGGAGCACAAACGGGGAACCAGTCCCACAAGACCGAGTCATAGGTGTCTCCAACCTTATAGGCAGCATGACTGAGGCAGTACATGATTTGTCTCCCTGAGGCAGGGGCAACGAACAACCTTCAAAGTTGCACAAGGTAAGAGAGGGCTCGGAAGAAGTATCCATGGTACGACTGAGCCCACAGGTTTTCCAGGGCCCATAGAGTAGCCGTAAAGCCTTGGGGGCAGCAGAGGAGGACAACCACCACAACCTAGGCAAGCTTAATAAGAAGCTCATCAGACCACCTCTGCAACAACAGGTAAAACCCCCAAAATCTCACAACTAGCAAACTAGCAGCCAGAAACATTGGCCGCCGAGTGATAGTAATGCAAGATACGCATGCCACAGTTCGCCCCACCAGCAAACACCCCCTAAATCAGGGCAAGGCGAACAGCCCAAGACCCCCGGCATATCCCAAGGGCAAGGACAACCCCAAGCAAGGAAGCTCTCTATAGAGGAATGATTCCCGAATGCCCCAGGGAAGATAACTTTGACTACGCAAGGGCAATACTCACGGAGCACCTAGGGAAGGTGACCCTAGACGCATGCAGCCCCGGTATCCTATAGAACCCCAGGCCAATGCACATGACAGGTATAGGAACAGCCATCAAGGAAAAAATCCAGAAGAGGCATTACAGCCCAAGTCAACGTCTGACCAAGCACATCAGTCAAAAACTGAATTTGAGAGTTGCCAGGTCACCCAAGCCGACTCCCGTTGCGGATATGGGGGGGGGTAGTGCTAATGAGTGGGGAGGGGAGGGGGGGATGACAGGGGGGATGACAGAAGGATAAAGTGTTGCTTGCTTGTTTGTCTTCTTTCTGGGGGAGTTCGTTTGCTATTTTGAGGATGTAGATTGCAGTTTTCAAGAAGACAGTGGTCTGTTTTGATTCACCTACCTTTCTGGGTCCTTCCCTAGTCGATGGCAATTATGACATACTTTTAATGTAAAGTGCTCATAGGCCACTGCTCTGGCTCCCACAAGGCAACAAGAGCTCTGACTGATGACCCCAACTAATACAGGACTATCAGTATGGATAGCTTCAGTGAGCCAATGGGGCTCCCCACAGAAGAGAAAGCATTGGAGCTTGATTGTTCCAGAGTATTATACTGCACTGTTGCATAACTTTATATAGAAACTTTTAGAGCTTGTCCTATATAGCAAGATTCATTCACCTATTTTTTAATGTTTGGGAAAACAGAGTAATAGCCTTTTCAGAACAAATTTTGTAACAAAATTCATGTTGTATATATTCTGCTTACCATATATTTTATCAAAATATATGACATTTTCCTTATAATAAAGTAAACAGGAATCAAAGAACTAACACCACTTACCTTTATGAGCTCATATAGATAATATCTAATATCAAAGTCATTAAGCGTTTGATATAGCTGTTTAAAATCAGTGTTGTTGACGTGTTCAAACACTAATGCCGGAGTGCGAGAAACTGGATCTTTGACAACAGCCTGGAGTGTAATGATGTTGGTCCCACCGCGCAGATTTTCCAGAATCTTTATCTCTCTCTTTATCTTCTTCTTCTTGACAGGCTGTATGCAGAAAACTATATATTAAATTAAGCAAAAATTTCATAGAAGGTAATAAAGAATTTTACAGCACTGTCACACAACACAATATTACATTACTGAAAATATAACAGGCATACTTGCAAAGTCCGTTTTTATTGCAACTTTAATGAAGCACATTACCACAATCAATTTCCCTCTCAACAGCTGATGAAGCAGTAAAGGAACTGCTTAAAATGAATATGACAAACCACACATTTGCCCTACCATTCAACACCATTACCACACTTCAGCATGTTGCCCAAAGCAACTAGTGCTTTATAAGAAAGCATTAATATATTTATTCACATGTGGGTACAGATGTAAAAAAAACTACTAATAGTAACCTTAAGAGCTTTTTCTTTCCATAGCTAATGTTAAGCCTTACCCTATTAGTTTTCTGTGAAAAACACACTGCCAATTGGTTAAAAATCAGCTCCCCAATTATTGCTGGTGGAATAGGGGCCTGAACCCAGATGAAATCCCTTGCAAGGAGTGGGGTGTTATTCCACCTAGACTTATTCCGTACTACAGTACTTCTTAGGTGCCATATTTCAAGACAGTAGATGAAAATCTATGAAGATTAAACAGATCTATGTCATTGACATAGCCCATCTAAAATACTGGAGAAAATCAAACATTACAGAGCAATCTAATAAGGACTAACTTTGGAACAAAGACAGCAAGGTTTTAACACTATTCTGGTCTATGGAGCGGATGTGCATCTGATATTTTTCTCTCCAGTCCTAGTGGCGGACTCGTGCTTGCATCCATTATTAAAATATTTTCTAAAAATTTAAATTTTATCTGATCAATCTGAGACTGGTTTCAAAATGAGCACCTTTAGGTTGCGCACATTTTAATACAATAATGACAATGTAGCCTGACAATTGAGGTCAGAACATAGGAAAGATTATAAATACTTGTGGTCCAATATTTAAAATACTTGTTAAAATTCCATTTATTGTTCTATTATTATGGGACTAGTTTTATAATGTGCGCCTTTATATTGCGAACAATTTGATACCAAAATGAAAGATGTAGCTTGAAAATTGATGTCAAAACACTGGAGAGGTATAAATTATTTTGTGGTGACGAGTGTCCAAAATTTTAAATATTTGTTAATTTCATTTATTGTTCTATAATTATGGGACTAGTTTTAAAGTGTGTGCCTTTATATTGTGAACAATTTGATACCAATATGAAAGACGTAACACGAAAATTGATGTTATCAAACTGGTTGTGGGTGTGCCAATTGGTGCTCGTTCGCGGATAACGATTGGCCGACTTTAGGCTTTGCCGTGGGTAAGTCACACTGGGCTTTTGGACCTTATACCCATACATCCCTTTAGGAAATTCTATTGCAAACACACATACTAAAACGAATAACGTAGCACGAGAATTAAGGTGAGAAAATGGAAACTAGTATACACATTTCGGTGAAAGATGTAATATATAAATATCTACATGTTTTGTTCACCAAAACTGTACAACTAAGCTGGTATGGTGTCCAAACAGCATAATGGCCACTCTACACAGCATGACAAGTCACACACCAGCCAGCAGATGACACCACCTCCCTCACCTAAATGACTCCTCCCAACATGCTGTTATTACACTATATTCACACATTATATATAAGTACAGTATCTACATTTGTGCTGTAATGTAACAGCAATACATAAGCAAACCACTAAGTTGGTATGGTGAGTCCAGACAATAACAGGTGGCCACACAGTCAGCAGACAATGCTACCTCCCTCCCTCACAAAGATTACTCCTCCCATCATACTATGCACAGCACTAATTATCACCACAATCCTGGTAATTTTTATCACAGTCAGGGTCTTCTGTAATACTATCATTGCTAAATAATCTAATACCAGTTACATATGTATATTTTGACATTTTTAGGCAATGCTGTAGTCACAAGCTGAAAAGCAATGCTGTTAGCTCATGCTGCGTGCGCCAGCCTTGGTTGCACGCTCAGTAGAGGCCTTCACACTCGGAAATGTTACCCACGATTTTTTTTAAATGGCATCCGTTTACTAGAGCCCTGAGGAAGCCGACGTGAACCCTGTGTAGCTGCGGGACTTTTAAATCTTACGCAGTACTTTAAAATGTTATATATGATGTGCGCTGTTCAGCCACTTTGACCAAAATTGTATACGGTATACACAATTTGCACTGTTAAAGGGTTAACTACTGTACAAGGATGGTGAAATACCAAAGAAACTGTTCATGACTTTTGTGAGACCAAAATTGGAATATGCAGCAGTTGTATTGTGCCCATATCTCAAACAGCACATCAATAAACTGGAAAAGGTATAAAGGCATGTTACAAAATGGCTTCCGGAAATGAAAACAAGAGTTACGAAGAGGGGCTTTTAGCCCTTCTTATGTTAAATATGTCAAAGCTAGAAAATGGAAGAAAGAGGTGATATGATTACCACTTACAAAATACAGTAACAGGAATCAAACAAATTGACAAAGGGGAATTCCTGAAACCAGCAACTTCAAGACCAAGTATACAAATTCAAGGAAACAAAGGTGCTGAAAAAATATCAACGTTTTCGTTTCCAGAGTGGTAGTCGGTTGGAACATTTTAAGTGAGAAAGTTCTAGTGGCCAAAGTCATCAGTAGCTTTAAAGTGTTATATGACAGTACTGGAAAGATGGGACACACGAGCGTAACTCACCCTATAACTACATTTGGGTAATTACTTAAAATTCAACTATGCATATTGCATGAAACAGTTCAATTAAACTATGCATTTCTAATGACACTAAGTCTAACATACTATGTATAGGCAGTATACATATTTCAAAACTACTGATAACAAGCTTACAGTCAATTTTGTTTAGTACTTATGAGCCAAATCTACTGCCTAGCTCTCCGAGTCTAAGCACATAAACCAACTCTACCTTAAGAATTTTGACGACACATTTCTCATTGTTGTTGATGTTTACAGCCTCAAAGACTTCCGAATATTTGCCTCGACCAAGCTTTCTCACAAGTTGATAATCATCCTGTTGTCTGTAAAGATAAAATGTTTATGAAAATTAATGTGCTGGATTATACAATGTCAGATGTACAAATCTGCAATCATCATCACCTACGTCTGATACACTGAAAACTTGCGAATTGTATGCTAAACAACTTCATGCAATAATCCTAAGCAAAAGTAACCGATTCAAATTCAAAACGTGAATGTGAAAAATGAAAACAATATAGCCATCAGTGTAGCTTACTCTTATATATGGAACAGTTACCATTCTTTAACCCTTAAGCTGTGGACATCGTCAATTACCGATTGACAGGGTAATGAGGTCACCTTATGAAGAATTAAACAAATATTGTCCGTCTCCCCAGCACCAAAACAGGAAAACTATGTAGCATAACCAAAGTTGCAGCAGATTCACAAGGTCCTAAATATCACTAAGGATGCCAATACCAGAACAAAAGCCCTTAAGGCGAGTGACATCAAAGGTATCAGATTCACCAAGGAGTTTATTGAGGAAAAAATGATCATAAGGGACAGTTTGGAGGAAATACACACGATTGTCCTGAAAATCAGGACAGTCAACAAAGGTATGTAGGATCATAAGTGGGACAATGCACGTAAGACAATAAGGAGCAGGGCGTCGCTCCATTAAGTACCTGTGTGTTAACACTATCACACGCGCCACGAGAGCGCCGCAGACTCGGACGTTATGGGGCTAATGGTGCGGGCGAGCAGATGTGTATACTCGTTTCGGTTTTCTCACATTAATTCTCATGCTACGTCGTTCGTTTTGGTATCATTGTGCTCACAATTAAATTCCCTGCAGATGTATATGCATATAATGTCCAAGAGCCTGGCGAGACTCTCGATAGCAAAGCCTAAAGTCGGAAAAGTGACCCGTGAGCGCTCAAAATCAGTAAAATGTTTATACTCGTTTCAGTCTTCTCACCTTAATTCTCGTGCTTCGTCGTTCGTTTTCGTATCATTGTGTTCGCAATTAAATTCCCTGCAGATGTGTATGCATATAATGTCCAAAAGCCTGGCAAGACTTCCCACAGCAAAGCCTAAAATTACCCGTGAACGAGCACCAATTTGCACACCACAACCTAATGTGCATACTCGTTCAGTTTGACAACATCAATTTTCATGTTACATTGCTCGTTTTGGTATCAAATTGTTCACAATATAACGGCGCACATTTTAAAACTAGTCTCATAATAATAAAGCAATAACTGGAACTTTAACAATTAAATTTTGGACGCTTATCAAAATGAGTGATCGCATTTGGACGATACCAAAATGAAAGACATAGCACGAAAATTTATGTTATCAAACTGAACAAGTATATACATTAGTCTGCAGATGTACCAATTGGTGCTCGTTCACAGGTAACTTGGCCGACTTTAGGTTTTGCTGTGGGACTTGCTCCGAGCCTTTAGATCTTATATGAATATACCCCTATAGAGAATTCTATTGTGAACACATTGATACCAAAACGAACGATGTAGCATGAGAAATAAGGCGAGAAAACTGAAACGAGTATATACATTTTACTGATTTTGTGCGCTCACGGGTAACTTGGTCGACTTTAGGCTTTGCTGTGGGGAGTCACTCCGGGCTTTTAGACCTTATATGCATATACCCCTATAGAGAATTCTATTGCGAACACAATGATACCAAAACGAACGACGTAGCATGAGAAATAAGGTGAGAAAACTGAAATGAGTATATACATTTTACTGATTTTGCGCGCTCATGGGTAACTTTGCCGACTTTAGTCTTTATACTTTGTTATTGGTATTGCTTATATATATTGCAGTTGTTATTGCTTATATTTGTCTTTCTATTTAGAGCATTTTATTGCGAATAATTTGATACCAGAATGAACAATATTGCACAAAAAGTCTGTTAGCAAACTGTGCGTTTGTCTGGTGTATTGGGTGTGGCAATGAGTAAGGCTTCGGCGACTTTAGGGATTGTTGCGGGTTATGTGCCCCCATGTTGTCTAATTTATATGCCTATGTCTGTGTAGGGAATTTTATTGCGATCACAGTGATACAAAAAAGAACGATGTCGAACAAGTTTGGACTTGATAAACCTGAAAAAGAGTAGCAACATGTTCACGCTGTTTGGTGTGCACGGCTAACAAACTACTTAGTTTTCTATTTGGTGCCGACATCACGTTAGCTTTGGTGACACATTATACGTATGTTCCTCTAGAACATTTCACTGGGAACACATTGATACCAAAATGAAACACGTACATCGAAAATTACGGTCAAAAACATTAAAAGAGTATAAACTTTTCAGTGGGGGTGCAGCCAATGTGCAGTTGGGCATGCGGTAGCGGGTAACCCTTGGGCAACTTCCCACCGTCTTGCTGGTGGGGCACACCCATGTTTTGTACTTTATAGTCATATGTCTGTGTACGAAATTTTATTGCGATCACAGTCATGCCAAAATTAACGACGTAGAACAATTCTGGGGTTGACAAACCTGAAAAGAGCATAAACATTTCATCGCTGTTTGGCGCTCACGGCTAACGATTGCCATAGTTTTTTTATTTGGTGCGGGTCTCACGTCAGCTTAAGTGAAATTTTATATATATATTCCTCTAGAGCATTCTCTTGAGAACAAATTGATACCAAAATTAAATACATACATGGAAAATTAAGGTCAACAGACTGAAAAGAGTATAAACATTTCGGTGTCGCCGCACGGTTGCCCGAACTGCCTGGCGCACAAGGGTAAGTTAAAAAATCTTCTGCCGGGAGCGCGATATTGTTAACCATGTGTTCAAAAAGAACGACTGTTGAAGTAAGCCCACGATCTAAAATAGGGACATCATGATGCCACCCCTTCGACGCTGACACATCACGTGAAGAGAGAATCGCCTGCCAAGTGTCCGGAGCAGTCCTGACTTCACAAGCTAGTCCGTCAGTATATCCAGTGATGATGGTGCAGTGAGACAAGACAACACGTGCAGTGACAAATAACCCTTTCGCCTAAGAGCAAGGTTAATGATTACTACAAGTGCTTTACCTGCCAAGCTGAGAGAACATTAGTCTACAGAGTTATCTTCTTGAGTTATCTTGAGATGATTTCGGGGCTTTAGTGTCCCCGCGGCCCGGTCCTCGACCAGGCCTCCACCCACAGGAAGCCAGGAAGCAGCCCGTGACAGCTGACTAACACCCAGGTACCTATTTTACTGCTAGGTAACAGGGGCATAGGGTGAAAGAAACTTTGCCCATTGTTTCTCGCCGGCGCCTGGGATCGAACCCGGGACCACAGGATCACAAGTCCAGCGTGCTGTCCGCTCGGCCGACCGGCTCCCTACAATACTTAGTTATTTCTCAAAGCCCAACATCATTGAATATTATGTTCATATCCTTTTCACTACTCTATGGTTGTAATGGAGTATACAGAGTGGAGTTTACAGATAAACCAGAGATACTGTACAGATACAGAGATGGAGAGTGGAGTGGAGTTTACAGATAAACCAGGTAAACCAATTATCAATTAACACACGTGTTATTAAAAATTACGTGAACTGTGATTTATCAAGTTATTCAATATGCATACTCCTGTAAATGAAGAAAAAAAAGAGTGATACAGTCGGCAAAACATCCGAGGATAACACAGGAAGCATCAGACATTGGGCAAGAGGAATTCCTGAAACCAGCAACTTCACAAACAAGAGGACACAGATTCAAGCTAAGAAAACAGAGGTGCTGAAAAATTAAAAAAAAAAAAAATCTTTTGCAAACAGTGGTAGACAGTTAGAGGAAACTAAAGTGAGAAAGTGGTGGAGGCCAAAACTGTCAGTAGTTTCAAAGAGTTATATGACAGAGTACTGGGAAGACGGGACACCAATTCATGTAAACAAATGGACCTTGCAGCCATAAATAACATTAGTATGATGTACGCTCATCTGCAATCCAGTCTCAAAGAAATCAGCATTTCATGGCGTTTTGGTGATAATTACCGGTTCTCCAAAAGTACAGTACCCCCCCCCCCTTCATTATTATAGGTGGCTGTGGTGGGTGATCATAGGGGCCATTGAGGGACGGGTATTGCGGCCGATGAGGAAAGAAGGGGGGGGGGGCTATGGCACCAATAGGGGCAGGGGGCATGACAGGGCAGGGGGTAGATTGTAATGTCATGAGGGGATTGTAGTGGTTACCTTGAAGTTACCCTGAAGTGTTTCCAGGGCTTAACGTCCCCGCGGCCAAGTCGTCAACCAGGCCTCCTGGTATATACATTTAAAATATGGAAACAACTTAATTAACTACAGTAAATCATACCCCCATTCTATAACATGAGATTCATAATCCCAGTATTCATGAGGTCTGTGAGCATTGACATCAGCATAAACCCGAGCCCGGCTTGCCAACGGCATCTTGTGTAGCCCCCGGTAAACCGTCCGACCAAACCCAGCCAGGTCTGAAAAGAAAGGGGAATTTAAATCAATGAAAGTTATGTAACCACTGATTCACTGACAAATCTGCATAATATAATTATTGACATCACTTTCCAAAGGCCTTTCAATATACAGGTATTTTGAACTGATGAGTGAAAACATGGAATATGGAACTTCAGTTATGAATTTTCATACATATACACAGCCCTAGAAGAACGGTTGGTGCCTTGGAAAAGCCATCAAGCCTATTTAAAAGTAAATTCTACGTCATTTTTATAGTTTGTTGTCCCCACATGAAAAATGTGGGAAATCCAGATCAGGTCTATATAACTTGTCTGGATTTTGGGGGTGCCAATGTTTCTCTTTTCCATAAACATATCGTGTCCATTTTCAGTGTCATGCTCTTGTTTCCTCTTATTAAGCATGAAAATGGTATTTTTACTAAAAAAAAAAAAAAAGTGACAATTGGTCCTGCATTTTGCACCTAGACGGAGTTGGAACAAAAAAGCAGTTATCTTAAATATGAGTCGTCTTAAGATTGGATTGTCACGAGTCGGCAAACCCCCCCTGTAATACTGAAGATAAATAAGCTCTGAGCAATTTTTTTATTTTTTGAATAAATGCTAAATAATAGGAATGCACGAATAGAAAATCAATTAAATTTGTGGTTTTTATAAATAAGTGTCCCCATACCATAGGGAGCCGGTCGACCGAGCAGACAACACACTGGACTTGTGATCCTGTGGTCCCGGGTTCGATCCTGGGCGCCGGCGAGAAACAATGGGCAGAGTTTCTTTCACCCTATTCCCCTGTTACCTAGCAGTAAAATAGGTACCTGGGTGTTAGTCAGCTGTCACGGGCTGCTTCCTGGGGGTGAAGGCCTGGTCGAGGACTGGGCCACAGAGACACTAAAGCCCCGAAATCATCTCAAGATAACCTCAAGATAACTATCACTAGAGACTTCCCCAGATAATTTGGGTGAACAAACCCCCCCCCCCATTTACTGAACAATTGCCTTTCAGGATAACCAAAGAATCTTCACTGGATGAAACTTACTGAAAGTAATGAGAATCAAACTGACAGCCAGCCACAAATTTTTTTTTACCAAACATGTCCAACTTTCACACAACCCAAAAATCTTCCCTGGATCATGATTTTATATATGTATTTTATTAACTATATCACTAGTATTTAAGATACAAGTTAAAATTCTATTCTAACTTGACAAGGTTAGTCTCTAAAATAAAAATGCCAAATTTCTTTTTTTTTAACAAATCGGATAAATTTCATTTCCCAAACCTATAACCCTTTCTTGGATCAAGATTTTCTATGATAAATTGTGGAAACCTGATCCAATTACTGTACAATTTAAGGAGAAATTGACTCCTCTTTTCAGAATATTTCTGGCACCCCCCAAAGAATGATTTATGATAAGATCCAAATTTCTAAGGGTGCAACTGCACATTAATTTATTTTTTTTAATTGTAATAAAATTGTAGGTCTTGCCATTTATGTATCATTGGGAAAAATAGAATATCTAACAAAAAAATCATCAGAATCAATGTTGTGACTTCGGGAACAAGTCCCCATATAAAAACCAATAATTGACCATATTTAAAAATATGGTCAATTATATTGATATGGAAATATGGGAAGAGTTATCTCTTCCCATAACCAAACCATCGCCAGAGAAATCCTAGTAAACAACACAGAAATCATCGATAGATACAGCGATAGCAGGCGGCTTGACGTTTGCGAGGCACTACACATCAAGAAGTCAACACCAGCAATCAACAGCCAATTATTGCACAACTATATTCTACCCACCTCAAGACTCCGCTCCAATATAGAAGCATCAAGAAATATGGACCAATAGGCTTTCTACAAACACTTATATTCAATACCCATTGTTTCTGTTCTGTCTTGTGTTGATACTTTTAATACCCTATTAATATCCCCTCTTGTTCTGTCTTGTGTTAATGCCACATCACCCCTCCCACCTCACTCAAATGTAGATATAAAATCAGAGATACGTAAGTTCTAATCAGTTGTGTATTTGTGAAGTCTTTGAAAATGTAATAAGTTTTACGAAACGCGCCCGTGTCGCGTCAGACTAGAAATAAAAATGAATTTTGGAGAAGTGATTTTTGATTTACCTCCAACAGTGAAGCGTAATGTACGAAAGATTGAGAAAATTCGTGTTAGAATTATTAAACTTACTTTTTCGGTCATATTTAATAATATATGTCTACAGGAAAGACTGCTACCAAAATATACTAAAATATTATATATATATATATATATATATATATATATATATATATATATATATATATATATATATATATATATATATATATATATATATATATATATATATATATAATATATATATATATATATATATATATATATATATATATATATATATATAATATATATATATAATATATATATATATATATATATATATATATATATAATATATATATATATATATATATATATATATATATATATATATATATATATATATATAATATATATATATATATATATATATATATATATATATATATATATATTCACCTCAGCAGAGGGAATTCAACAGGGTGACCCACTTGCACCGTTCCTCTTTTGCATAGCGGTTCGAGAAATTACAACCAGACTGTCCAGCGAGCTCAACATCTGGTTCCTGGATGATGGCACTCTGGCAGGCACACAAGATTCCCTGCTGGAAGACTTACAGCTGGTGAAGACACGGGGGGAGTCCATGGGTCTCGTTCTTAGCCCCTCCAAGTGCGAAATTATTGCATCTAGTGAAGTAATCATTAGAGCAGTGAAATCAGTTCTACCAGAAGCCTCAGTCGTTAAACCTACCGACAGCACACTACTCGGAGCACCTCTGGGCCACAATGCCATTGCTGCAGTCCTTGACGAAAAGTTTAGAGACCTAAAGAGGATGGAAGAGAGAATTGGGGACTTGGACTCCCACGATGCCCTCTACCTTCTCACAAAGTGCCTTACCTTGCCCAGGCTAACATACTTCTTAAGGTGTGCACCAACTTTTGGCAACCCACTTCTAAATCAATATGATGAGCTCCTCAGGTCAATATTCAGGAAGGCGCTCAACCTAGATTTAGATGACAGTCAGTGGGACCAAGCAACACTACCAGTGAGATTTGGAGGGATAGGCATACGAAAGGCAACTGAGGTAGCACTTCCAGCATTCTTATCCTCATGTACAGCAGCCAACGAATTGGTAGGGCAGATCCTACCAGAGCGTATGAGAGAGACAGCGGGAACTCATGATCAAACGTTCATCGAAGCAGCCAGACAATGGGACACCATTGCACACCCTCAACCCCGACCACAAGTCCCAAAAGACCACAAGCAGGCCCACTGGGATAGCCCCATAATGGAAAAGACTGTCACAGCAATGATTGACAACGCTGATGCTGAAAACAAAGCCCGCCTCCTAGCGGTAACAGCACCCCACGCCGGGGATTTTTTATTTGCTGTGCCCAATGCAGCCCTGGGAACTCGCCTCAGTCATGACGCTCTCCGCATTGGAGTTGCCCTTCGCCTTGCCGCCCCCATCCTCACCGAACATAGGTGCATCTGCGGAACTGCGATGGCAGACCAATATGGTCGTCATGGTCTGGTATGTCGTAAATCACAGGGTAAAATTGCAAGACATGAAGTCAACGACATCATCAAGAGGAGCCTCGCCACAGCCCGCTGCCCGGCACAAAGAGAACCACACTTATCCAGACCTAACGACCCTCAGAAGCGCCCTGATGGGGTCACCTTGCTACCTTGGAAGGATGGTAAGCAAGTGGTATGGGACTACACGTGCGCTGCCACACTGGCCAGTACCTACCTCCACTACAGCACACGTGAAAGCGGTGGTGCTGCTTCTTTCAGGGAATCGCAGAAAATTATTAAATACAGAGGTCTAGCACACTGCTACAGCTTTGTTCCGATCGGCTCGAAGACCCTCGGTTCGTGGGGAAAATGTGCATTGAAGTTCCTGAAGGAGTTGGGGGACAAATTGATCAGCGCTACAAAAGACCAGAGAGCAAAAAGTTTCTTGTTCCAGCGCCTCAGTGTTGCGATTCAGAGGGGAAATGCCTGTTGCGTCTTGGGCACTAGTCCAACTTCAGAGGAATTCGAAGAAGTGTTTGACTTGCAACAATGATCGAACCCGTCTGTGACATTCATCAATGTTTCCCATTGTTGTGTTCAAGAGATCCATAACCTTTAAGCACCTTTTTGCATTATTATTTTTGTATCAACCCATGTATATCTTGTAACCATCAAATGCATAATAAAGCACAAAAAATATTCAAGGAAGGGGGTGGTAGGAGAAAAGCACACAGAAACTGTATTGGAGGGGATCTAAACATTCCCTCTAATGCGTTATGCGTGGTTTCCCCCTATTATATATATATATATATATATATATATATATATATATATAAATATATATATATATTATATATATATATATATATATATATATATATATATATATATATATATATATATATATATATGTCGTACCTAGTAGCCAGAACTCACTTCTCAGCCTACTATTCAAGGCCCGATTTGCCTAATAAGCCAAGTTTTCCTGAATTAATATATTTACTATAATTTTTTTCTTATGAAATGATAAAGCAACCCTTTTCTCTATGTATGAGGTCAATTTTTTTTTATTGGAGTTAAAATTAACGTAGATATATGACCGAACCTAACCAACCCTACCTAACCTAACCTAACCTATATTTATAGGTAAGGTTAGGTTAGGAAGCCAAAAAAAGCTAGGTTAGGTTAGGTTAGGTAGGTTAGGTAGACGAAAAAACATTAATTCATGAAAACTTGGCTTATTAGGCAAATCGGGCCTTGAATAGTAGGCTGAGAAGTGCGTTCTGGCTATTAGGTACGACATATATATATATATATATATATATATATATATATATATATATATATATATATATATATATATATATGTCGTACTTAGTAGCCAGAACGCACTTCTCAGCCTACTATGCGAGGCCCGATTTGCCTAATAAGCCAAGTTTTCATGAATTAATGTTTTTTCGACTACCTAACCTACCTAACCTAACCTAACCTAACTTTTTCGGCTACCTAACCTAACCTAACCTATAAAGATAGGTTAGGTTAGGTTAGGTAGGGTTGGTTAGGTTTGGTCATATATCTACGTTAATTTTAACTCCAATAAAAAATTTTTTACCTTATACATTATGAAATGGGTAGCTTTATCATTTCATAAGAAAAAAATTAGAGAAAATATAATAATTCAGGAAAACTTGGCTTATTACACAAATCGGGCCTTGCATAGTAGGCTGAGAAGTGTGTTCTGGCTACTAGGTACGACATATATATATATATATATATATATATATATATATATATATATATATATATATATATATATATATATATATATATATATATATATATATATATATATATATATATATATATATATATATATATATATATATATATATATATATATATATATATATATATATATATATATATATATAATATATATATATAATATATATATATATATATATATATAATATATATATATATATATATATATATATATATATATATATATATATATATATATATATATATATATATATATATATATATATATATATATATATATATATATATTATATATATATATTATATATTATATATATATATAAATAAATAAAAATAATAAAGCAGACATGGACACCACTTTTATATTTTGCTGAGCCATTTTGCATCTCTATCATAGTTCTAACAAATTTTTTTTCCATCTGGTTCTTATCACTAACTTTCTTGGGCATCATGGCAACTTAATTATGCTAACAAAAATATTCAACACAAAGTTTAGAGAGACGTTTAGTGGGGTTGTGCACGGAATGACTACTGGGAAATAGACTAGTCTGTTACACATGTTTACGTTTTAATACCGAGCAAACGTTCTACTTCCAAGTGTTTTTATTCTCAAATGAAGAGTTCGAGTGCCAAATTGTACAAGGCCAGAGTCATTTTAGTACTGTAGTTTCTCTGTAGTTATAATACATCTATATGGCTGTAATGGATTTAAAGGCCAATTAAGAAATTTTGCAACAATTTTTAATTACTGTGCTATGAGGTTATTATGTACTATGACCTGCAATTATCATGAAATCACAATTCTGTTTTCCCTGCCAGTGTTTAAATCTATTTCAGGACTGCATTACCAAACAAAATGGCAGCAAAGTGGGATTCAAGACACTTCCTTTGTGGTCTGCCATGGACAGGTTAGCATTATATAGATGTATATACTACAGTCTGCCTATGTACAGCTCTCACTTTTTGTCAATTATGTGCACATAGTATTAAGCACAACAAAAAACATTCACCTTTATAATTTGAGCCCTCTCACCAGTACACAACTCGTCAGACTGCATATCTGGTGCTATCACCGACTCCTCCACTCAAGTTACTGGTTACTCTTTTTTTTTTTTTTTTACACAAGCATAGTGGCCCTATGACAAAAGCCAGTTTTTTAGGACTAAAAAAAGTTTGCTATGACACCCTTAAAAATTATACATGCAATACATTTTTTCTTATATACCATAGTATTAAGTAAGAGCACCATTACCCTAAAAATATAAAACTCGACATTCATTATCTTAAATTATGGCCAAAATGCTGTTAATATTAGTGACTATAAAATACAAACTGTACCTACTAAGTAACCATTGTACAATATTCATCCATTTTGTATAAATAAAAGACTTATTACTGTACTACTATTATTTTGATGATAGCCACACTTGAGTATTTACGCAACATGGAGTCAAGGAAAATAAATATTGCCCAACTTGCTCACATTTCTAGAAACGGTGTCCAACTACACGGACCAAGGTATCCCAGTTGATGTGTTGAACATGGTTTTCTCAAAGATGTTCGACAAAGTTCCACATACAATATTGGCCCTGAAAATACAAGCTCATGGAATCATGTGCAAAATATATCTAAGAATAAAACAGCTGATGGACAGAAAAAAGAAGATAGTTTTAAGAAGAATTGAATCCGAGGTACCACAAGATTGAAATGTCTTTCTGGTAGCACCCCAGTTGCTCCATGTAGCTATCTCACCAAGATTGCTTCAATCTACCACTCTCATCAATTGCACAAGTTCATCTGGACTACTAGGGACCAGAGCCAAAACTTGGCCCAGGGTGCAAATGATGAATCTGCCATTTCACCAAGAAAGCATCCAGAAAGTCAGCAGAGTTTAGCACACAATAGTTGGGTTCACAAAACTCAAAAATCACTAAACTGCCAAATAACTCTCTAAACAATACAAAAACAAACACACACAACTAGTTAGAATAGGACAATACCAAATGCTTTCACCAGGCAGCTCAGTCTGGCATCGGCTATTTGCTCTGTTCAGCAACAAACATTGCAATGAAAAAGGGAGGGAGGGAGGGGACAGAGCCACCAGAAAGACGTTTTCATTACATTCAATGCTGGGTTTGAGGGGCAGCCCTTTGGTGGTTCCCTGTAAGTAAATAACCACAGAAAAATTTGATGAACTTAACAGAGGACGCAGCACCTGCCAAGTCCAAGTAGAGTCCAGTGTCACGTAGGATGGAAGACACTGGTTCCACACCAATGCGAAGAGATCTTCCTCGGGTGTGACCGAATGTCTCGCAGAGCCACTGGAAGGACATGTTACCACTGCCTCCCAAAGAATAAGTGCAAAAATCTTTGGCAAGGCCGCTGCCGCTCGTACTGCAGATGTAAAAGCCTCTGCACCCAGAACCAATCCAAGCGAATCCTCATCCTCACAGAGCTCATTAGAAAATGCTCTAAAAGGACCCAAAAATGCATCACCATTCGTCGCCAAGTACATAACAGCCCCTGGCTTAAAGGAAAGCAGATAGCACTGGTAGCCAAATGTGAAGCTGCCATTTACCCACATCTTTGGCAAGAGCAGGAGAAAACAAGCCATGGAATAAGAAGGGTCACCTAATAATACCTGAATATCATTCGACACTTCATGCCATTCAAGTATACCTGCATGATAGGGTTCTGGGCGCTCCTCTACTTCCCAAGCCCAGCCCAAGGCCAGGCTGGACTTTAGTTTTCTCTTGAAGATGTCCATGGTTGTTCTAGCAGTATTTCTTATACTCGCTGGGAAGAGATTGAACAGACGTGAACCTTGAATGTTTAGTGTTATCTGATTGTGCTTATGGCAGCCCTGCTCTTCACGGGTTACTATTCTACATTTTCTTCCAAATCGTTCACTTCAGTATGTTATTTTACTGTGTACAATTTGGGACCCAGCCCTCCAGTATTTTCCACGTGTATATTACTGTATTTGATCTCTCTCGTCTCCCATCTAGCGAGTACATTTGGAAAGCTTCGAGACGATCCCAATAATTTAGGCGTTTTCTTGCGTCTATGCAAGTATATGAGCATGACAACCCCTACCAAGCCCCCTCCCCAAAATATGGGGGGTTGTCAGATAGCCAGGATGAATTTGGAACCTTGTAGCCAAAAAGGCAACACCAACCTGAACTCACAGGAATCAGGGTCCCTCATCAAAGTGAGGTCTGAATTCCACAGGAGGTACAACAAAAGGTATTCACAAGCATCTCAGGAATAGAGAACCTTCCGAAAGACGAATCTGCTGGGCCAAATGGCACATGGGAATGAGCTCAGGGAAGGAGGCAGTGAAAGCAAACTTGTTTAGATCAATAGAATAAGGGAACCCCCTTCTGTGAGCACATGACCCTTCTCGAAATTAACAAAATATCTAGAAGAATCCATGGGCATACAAAGGCCCAAATTGAGCTTCCCCCAAGCCCTGAGAGTGTCATGAAAATTCCAGGGCAGAGCCAGAGTCATCAACCAACACCTGAGAAAGAAAGAGGCATTCTCCAAAGGAGAAGGTACTGAGAAACCATGTGGTTGTGAAAGAGAAAATTTGCAACCCTGGTGGCACTAGATGGCTCAACTACCTCTACACTCATAAGAAAGGGGAAATCCCCCATAAATCATTGAGCTACACCCAGAACTAAACCCTGCCCAAATTCTGAAACCCTGAAATGTTTTAAAGCTGCAAGCAGGGGATGGGGGATGGTGGAGGAACTGATGTCTGCCTGCTGTTATTCAGCCAGACAGGGCTCCCAGGCAAGCATCCCCAGGCACTGGAGATGCTTGCTGAAGAAAATGGGAACCACTAGCAGCTCTTCTCCATGCTGCAAAATGGCAAATGTGGTATGCAGTATAAACATGAAAACAAGCCCCAAGGGCACCCCCACAACCTAATGAGTGGAGCCAACCAAGGGCCTAAGTAGGTCTGAAGATCCCTGAAATACCCGAGGTAAGGCACTCTACCTGGTGACCTGTCCTCGGAAGGGCAACCCCCCTGAATACACCAGAGAATAAAGTCAGTGCAAGTGCTCTCAGACACCCAGGGAAATAAACATTAGGTGTATGCAGTCTGGAGCACAAAAAGCCAAGTTCCCATAACAAAACCAGACAGAAAACCATGCATGTGAAGCCAATACTGTAATAAAATATCATAGCAAAAGAGAACCCTACAAGAGAAGTCCTAGGATGACCAGTACTTGGCTTAGATGCTCTAAGACTTGCTGCAAGAAGATGCAACAAAGGAGCACTACTGCATTTCTCTGGACTACGCATCAGTGGATGAGCCAACTCTGATAGCTGATGCTAGACCAAGTGGTGGCTGCCTGGTGTTGACATTCAGTACTATCAGGTTCTAGCTAGTTCCTTGGGGGGAGGGGGGGATTTATTTTGCAGTTTAGTGGTCGAGTCTTGTGAACCCGTGTTGTCTGTAAAGCTTTGCCGACTTTCTGGATGTTTCCACGGTGAAATGGCAGATTGCAATTTGCTCGTTACATCTTGTGTACAGGGGACAGATATTGGCTCCAGTCCCTGGTAGGCCAAATGAACTCGTGCAACTGATGTGATTGGTAGATTGGAGCAAACTCTGTGAGATAGCTACAGGGAACCACAAAGGGGCTCAGCTAGAAATACAAAATTAAATGCCTTCAAAACTAATTTAGTCCAACATGTTAATAATGTCATAAGAAATAACTGACCTAAGTTAGTATTACTGATTAAAATGTACACTTTATATTTTGTAGAAGGAACTGCAAAATTTTTATAATACTGTATACAAAATATTATGAACAATCTTAAACAAAAACCCACTCATTCTCCCTCTGTGGGTTAATAAAAAAAAAGTAAATATGGGATTAACAAAGAGGTTGTGAGAATAATTGACATGGCTGATTTTGGGTACATTATGGGTACATGGGTAGTGTTAGGGTAGAGGGGTGAATGGATAAGTTGGACATATGGGGGGGTTCAGGAAGTGTGAACTTGTTTGAATAAACTAAATGAAGATACAGCTTATTTGTTGCATGAGGATTTTTATTTTTTCTCCATCAGATTTGTAGTAAAAGTGCCCCATGACCTTGCCAGATGAAAATGAAAATAGGAAGGCTAGCATGCACTGTACTTAATATACAGGGTTGCCATTTATCTTACCAGGAGTATAGTGCAAGGAAATAAGTCATAATAGCCTGGGCTAAAGCACATTTAGGCAAGTAACCTACCTTTCTCAAGCAGTAAATTAAAAAAATATCATTAGGCAATCTTCCATTTGTCAAATATGATAAAGCAATCATTGGTAAAACTTTTATAAAATTTATTAATTTATTCACAGGTGCACACACTACATTATGTCCGATTTGCATGCACAGTCAGCCAGTCTCAATATAAATACAGTACAGTGGTACCTTCATTTACGATCGTAATCTGTTCCAAGAGAAGTGTCATCACCCAAAACGAATTTTCCCATAAGAAATAATGTAACTTGAATTAATCCGTTCCACACCCCCAAAAATATTAAACACTTCAAAATACATTTTATACAGAATACTAATTTTTCATACACAAAAAAATCGGGTATAAATATAAACCATAAATAAAATAAGTGAACATTTAACCGTACTTTGCTGATGACTCATTCAAAGGCATGCATTCATATTTACTGCCTCCTGATCCACCAGTTGGTAGCAAGAAAGCCTTCTGTATTGATACCATCCAGATGTGGCTGGGAGAGTACAGCTGGGGTGGTTCTAGTGTGGGGAGGGTGCGGTGTGGGGGGTAGCGGGGAGGGTGCGGTGTGGGGGTAGCGGGGAGGGTGCGGTGTGGGGGGGTAGCGGGGAGGGTGCGGTGTGGGGGGGTAGCGGGGAGGGTGCGGTGTGGGGGGGTAGCGGGGAGGGTGCGGTGTGGGGGGGGGTAGCGGGGAGGGTGCGGTGTGGGGGGGGGTAGCGGGGAGGGTGCGGTGTGGGGGGGGGGTAGCGGGGAGGGTGCGGTGTGGGGGGGGATAGCGGGGAGGGTGCGGTGTGGGGGGGATAGCGGGGAGGGTGCAATGTGGGGGGGTAGCGGGGAGGGTGCGGTGTGGGGGGGGTAGCGGGGAGGGTGCGGTGTGGGGGGGGGGGGGCGGTAGCGGGGAGGGTAGCGGGGTGCGGTGTGGGGGGGGGGTAGCGGGGAGGGTGCGGTGTGGGGGGGGGGGGGCGGGGAGGGTGCGGTGTGGGGGGGTAGCGGGGAGGGTGCGGTGTGGGGGGGCAGCGGGGAGGGTGCGGTGTGGGGGGGTAGCGGGGAGGGTGCGGTGTGGGGGGGGGTAGCGGGGAGGGTGCGGTGTGGGGGGGTAGCGGGGAGGGTGCGGTGTGGGGGGGGTAGCGGGGAGGGTGCGGTATGGGAGTCGGTTTTACTCCACCCATCCTGATTCCCCACCATCCATCCATAAATCCAGTCCCCCCACCATCCATCCATACACCTAGTCCCCCCCCCCCACCATCCATCCATACACCTAGTCCCCCCCCCCCACCATCTATCCATTCACCTAGTTCCCCCCCCCCCACCATCTATCCATACACCTAGT